GACCTTCTTCCCTCTCATGCTCTCGCTCTACCATTCTCTCTCTCTCTCAATAAATAAATAAAAATCTTTAAAAAAAAATATTAGGACTAAGGATCCATGGTTTAGTAGAAATTACCTTTTAAAAGTGTGGATGCTATATTGAATTCAAGCTAATTCTGTCTTTGTAAATAAGGAATGATTGCTTACTGTACAAAATAAGTTACTGAGAGTAAAAACTAACTAGAATAGTTTAATACTAAAACTAATAGAAACCAACATAGCAATAAAACTTTTTTAATCATAAAAAATTCAATGAGAACTTCAGGTTTTATTAGTGAATAAATGAAAATGCTTTGTAATATCTGAGACAGTTAACATTGGTGTTAGACTTGAATAGACTTACACTATTATAATTGGTTTATTTGAATAACGTAATTTTACATGTAATTCTAATTTTTCAGTCCACTGGGATTACATATTGCTCTGTTGAAAAAAAATCTAGTTTTACTACACAAACTAAGCATATTCTCAGTAATGTTGTGGACTATATGAATTCTTTCTTAAATTTATGTCTTACTTACCCAAAAGTAAAGAATGTCAATTATATAATTATTGTGTGCCTTTCAGTGTCTATATTTTGACAAATAAGAGCATCCATGCTATTCTTCCCCTAAACCCAACTTAACAACCCAAACACCCAAGTGATAGGGAGCCTGAAACATCATACAGAATTTGTAGAAAAGTAACACTATGAAGATTTTAATTGTATGGATTCCTAAGGTACCTGTAACTAAAATTTGTTAGAAAAATGTTTTTGCTGTCTTCTAAAAATTTCACTAACATATTTGCATGAAACATAGATTTTCAACGCTGGCTGAAAATCTTACCCTTCCAGAAATAAGAATAAGAAGCCCCTTACTGCGTATTTTAGAGAATTTTCACCAACAGAATTCATATAGTTCTTAAACCTTGTCACGTTAAGATTTAAAATTTTTCTATTTCAAAATTTTTTGATTATACCAGTTATAAAGAAGCATTCTCTAATGTGAGTCAATATTTAGAAACCATCTGAATTACTTAGAAGCAAAAATGAAAATGAATTAATTGTACTTTCAATAATAAAACAGATCACTTAACTATTCCTTGAAATGGTTTTGTTGCCTTGTTTTGGTTCTCTCATTTTTAAACCTTTTCTTTTCACAGTGGAGTCACTCAATTTTAGTAGCATGTTGGGCGTTGGTAGGAGTTGGGTTGTGAAGAGAGAAGACAGGACAACTGTGACAGACGAGGGCTCCACCAGCACCTCAGACACCATCGGGGTGAATAGAAGACTCGGGAAAAGGCTGCTGAATGAATAAATAAAACATGATTTTTTCAAACAAATTTCAAAAACTGAAAGTGCAACACTGTGACAGAGGTTCGTCTGTTCAGGACTAACCACCACAGATTTGAGTGCTCATTTCACACTGGCCATTACGCTAAAATGTTTTACACACACACACTGTTTAAAACATTTAGTATAGTGGCCAGTACAGAGCAAGGGTGTGTGTGAGCATGTATTCATAAGATATCCAAATCAGAAATACAAGAGTTAAAAGATTAGTAACCGCTAGAGTTAGCCTCCAATGTCAGGACCCTCAGACAACCAGCACTTGGGTTCAATAGACAAGTCTCGGAAAAAAAAAAAAAAATGATGGTGTTCCTGATTAAGCGAGTAAAGCCATAGGAGTTGTATTACCAACAACCACCAAGCAAGTCAGTAGTGAGTGTGGGGTTCACTGTGACGGTTCTTCTCGGCTACTCAGTGCTTCCACAGCACCTTGCACGGGTATCTGCTATAGCCGTCAGCACTTTACATTATAATTACTTACGCGACTGTATATCCCACCAGATCATGAGCTCCTTGACAGACTGACTGACTTTGGGGGTGCCTGGGTGGCTCAGTTGTTGAGCATCTGCCTTCGGCTCAGGTCATGATCCCAGGGTCCGAGGATCGAGCCCCGCATCGGGCTCCCTGCTCGGCCGGGAGCCTGCTTCTCCAGCTCCCACTCCCCCTGCTTGTGTTCCCTCTCTCGCTGTCTCTGTCTCTGTGTCAAATAAATAAATAAAATCTTTTTAAAAAGAGAGAGACTTTGTCATTCATAAATTCCCCCGGTATCTGGCATATTGTCTGCTGTGTGATGGGCATCCACTGAATTTCGGAAGAATGCCACTCTACGTGGCAGTTCTTAAATTCTAGTGGATAAATATATTTTTTCTTTAATTCTCTACAGTTGTGTACTTCAGAGAAGGTGCTTACCATTTATAAATAGTCATAGTCCACAAAATGTTCTCCCAATAAAGTGAACTTCTTTCATTTTAATTTCAGTCCATGTATTCTGCCCCATAACATCTAATTACAATGTCTAATATGCCTAATTATGGTGCAAAGCTAGAAGCAGGACATCGAGGCAGGTTATCAGAATCTATCAGACCATTCGAGCACAGATATTCTTATAGTCTTGGCCGAAGCAGGAAATGTGTGGGGGATAAAAACCAGGATCCTACATCTTGACTCTGGAGTGTCTCGCCACTACTAGTCCCCAGCAGGGAAGGAGGCAGGCAGGGGCAGATAGCAGATCACAGAGTAGGTTTTGCGAAGAACAGTCCTCTGAGGACCCAGTATGGTGGATTCTCGCCCAGGTGGAGAGGGGTGCTGTATATCACAGCCTAGGGGTGGGTGGTAAAGATGTGGTTGGGTAACTTTCAGAGGTGATTATTTGAGGACAGTATCCCCAAGCCTACGTTGATAAACACCGGAGAAGACCTTACCAGAAAATGATCAGTGTAGTATCGCGAGTCTGAGATTGTGCTCAAATTTTAATACAAAGTTTCTATAGTCTCAAGAAGGATCTCTAATGTTCAAGTTCAATCATAAACTATTGCTTTCACCCAAACATTAGCTCCCTTCAATCCTGGCCATCCAAATTCTGCCCCTATGTCTGTTATTAAAAGGTATGGCTCTAAAGGAAAAATGGATCAATGTCTTAATTCTCATTTGCATTTGATATGATGATGACCAGCTATGAAAATATTTATAGAGGCTCTTTAAAAAAAAAATGAATAAATACCTTCTTGAAAACTTTACTTTATTAGAGAATCTAGCCCAAATGTGGAAAATTTAAAATCACTCTATTTACCAAAACTGGCTCACAATAAGCTTACTAGGAAAAAAAAAAAAAAAAAGAACAACAATGATCAGTAAATGCCTACGCTTAACATTCTTAATTGTGGGATAATTTTAAGATCCATGTTGATGTACTTATATGGTAAATCCCTCTGTTTAATAATAATAAAAAAATTCCCACATAACATTTTGTTTTTACACTCATATACACATATAAAAGTTGGGAGACATGTCTTAGAAAAATGTTTATAATGGATATACATAATGTGAAATAAAATCTGAATAAAAATTTTATTCCAACAACATTTCTCTATTTTTAAATCATGTTTATTAAGTTTTTATCACAGTGGAGATTAATTTATGCTTAATCATCCAGTGAGTGCCTACCGTCAACTTCATCCAATTCCAAAAAAGTAAAGTCAACTCATTCATACACTCTAAGCTTGTTCCCATCCCACCATTCATTGCCTGTGTCTTTTGTCCCTTTTAACAGCAACATAATGATAAGATTGTGAAAAGGTATAACTAATAGGCTTATATGTAAAATACCATTTCTTCAAGTATTCAGAGAGCAGTACATTTGTCTGCATTGTACATTAGAAAACGATTTGTGACATTATTTCTAAGTAGAGGAGAGTGGCTCCTGGTGGGAGTGTAATGAAGTTGTATGTCATAGTGTATGACAAGGATTTACAGCATTCTAGAATTTTCACAACTCTTCCCATGTTAGTGTCATTAGGTGAATGTATGTTTCTAGTCTCAGCTGTCAGACATGGGATCTCCAACTACGAATAAATAAAGCATACACTCAACATGTGTAGTGCAAATGCTAAGTAAACAGAATGACATGGAATAAACTCATAGTTGCCAACTAATGAATGGTTCGGCCGGGAGGTCCTGATTTTATGATGTCCGTGACGTGCATCCCTCTTCTCAAGTGAACACTGTCACTGTTCCGTGTCAGCCACAATGACTGGGAAACTCTACTGAGGTGGGGGGCGGGGGAGAAGAAGAGAAGAGGGAAGTAGAAACTCATTTCACAAGCAAGAGATACAATTTCTCTGTCACTTCTGTAAAACAGGTGAAGTCTGATCTGTTAACAAGATCTCAAACCTCTCAGACAAAGAAGGTACCAGTATGGAGAACTGTAAATGTCCCATTTAATGAAGTGTTGGCACCTATGTAATATGGATTGTGTGGCCCAGACAACAAAAAGGATGAAGAAGATGTTTTTTAAAGTTAAAACTTTGGAAATATAACACCTGAACATTCAAAAATTACATTATAAAAAAACCATCAGTTACAAAAACATTCAAATAACGGCCCTGTTTAAAGATGCCACATAAGCAATAATCTTCAGTACTTTGAACAAAAGTCAGAGCTCTGTGGCTTTGTCAATTATGCATTTAATGCAATGTTATTCATTAAAATGAAATAGAAGAAAAACTATAAAATTCTTCCAGAAGCAAATTATTGGTAGGGGGAGAACAAAAGTAAAATATGACAACCGATTTATACATTTACTTAATTGCATGTATTTTTCCCCCAGAAGTGTCCACAGCCTATAAGAAAAAGAAAACAAAAACATAAAGCAAAACAAAACAAAAAAACTAACACAAACAAAAAAAACCCAAAAAAGTATAAAAACGGTGCCATGTATCTTTTCATTTTCTCCCGCTGCATTCAGTTTTGAGGGAAAAGTGTTCTTTCATGGTAAAGTGTTCTGAGTTCACATATATTAAATTCTAGAAAAGAAACACTGGGAGCCTGTCTTTCAAATTCATTCTTGAATGTGTTGCACCTTCAACAAATATGCCAAGCAGCCAGCTAAAAATTCTCTTAATTAGGAAACACACATACATACACACATACACTCAAACAAACAAATCTTTTTAAGAGAAAAAAAACCATTCCTTATCTGGGAAACACACATATCAAGATTCAAAACTAAGGTCTGACATGGTCACTTAATTGATTTAAATAATTAAGGCTTCTAAAAGGTTCAGTGCCAAAACTCTCTGTATCAGTATTCGAATAAAATACATTTTTGCATTTTAGGTTTGTGCTTTTTACAGCCATCTTAATTCCATAGAATTTTGTTAGTAAGATCAGATAAGGGAGTGTTAGAATTGTTTACCAACATTTTACTTTTAGTAGTTGTTAGACTAAATTATAGTGATAAAAATTCAATGACTGAACAGATTTGTTACTATCCTGTGGGCTGTTGGCTCATTTCACCTTCTTTTCATGTTTAATATGGCCATTTCTTTTGTACTTTCCATTGAGGATTCCATTATGGTAATGTCCATTAACTGTGCTATGCTTATTTCTAGACCACAAACTTTTGATTTTTCTGTAGATAAATTTTGTCACCCAGGACAAGAAGAAGTAGAACAAGGCAGCACCAAGCAAAAGCACAAAGGCAATATCCAGTAAAAAATACTGACAGAAAGAGATTTGATGGACAGCGGCACGTAGGTGATGGGCTCCGTTGTGACGAAGAATGTAATCTATCCAATAGACAGTCCGATTGACAGGGTGACCAGGTTGATCCTTGTGGATTTCTGAAAGCTTCTGGGCCCTCTGACGGTAGCTATGGAGTGGAGAGGCAGAACACAGGATGATCATGTCAATACAAGGTTCAGTATTATGACTTTCTCAGTATAAAAATGAAGAAAATAATAAAAGCAACTACTCTTTATTAAGTACCTAGTACATGCCAAGCACTGTGTTAAGTGCTTTAAACATAGTATCTTATGTTAAAACAATAAAATAAATTTTAAACAAGTGAGGAAAATGGAACTCGGAGAGACTAAGTGACCTGATTATGATTACAAAGTTGAGATTCAGATTCAAGTGTTTCTGACTCTACACCCCAGTTTTACTGGTTTGGTTTGGTTTTTTGCTATATCATACCTCTTGCCCACACATACTCCTTCTCTCAATATGCCTTTAAATACTATTAGCCAATGAGTCTCAACCAGGAAGAGGAGTATATTTATTAGATTCTAAAAGAAAAAGATGAGGAAAAAGGCAGGATTTTGTCCCAACACCTTTTTTAAGCAATGAAATTTAACTTTGCTCTGATTTAAAATAACATTAAGTGAAGGTATGAGGTTATTTTACTTATTCAACAGAGGAAAAGGAGTTGAGATACACCACTATGAAGCCATCCATAGATGACATTATATGCAGTACATATACGTGCATGTGTGTGTGTGTGTGTGTGCGTGTGTGTGTGTGTATAATGAAAATACCCTCTTAAATGGTTAATCTGAAATCAGAGTACTTCCATATACTTGAAGATTGCACAACTGGGATTTAATTGCTGTGTGACCTATGACTATAGTGTGGCCTCTGATTAGGCCTTGTTTATATCTCAAAGAACACTTTATGTGGATAATCCAGCCTTTCGCTTTTTTCTGTAGAACAAATCCAATCTCAGTGCAACCATCCCCCCCATATACTCCACTTTAAGGCTGTATTTTACAAACTTTTCCTAAAAAACCTGTAAGATATGTATCATTTTTCAGAAAATCATGAAATCTTGAAGTCATGAAAATCTTGAAAAACACTCGACTTTAAAAGAAGAGCTACAGAACAGAGTTGTGATCAAGACACTGGATCCTTTAAGAGGTCAGAGCATGAAGGCTGCCTCTGAGCTCACATAAGGCAGCATAATGAATCCCAGTGCCCTTGAGAATCCAGCCTTTTATATGAAAGCTGCATCATTTTCTATGAAAGAATTTTTCTTCTTGTAGTTGTTTCTTAAGACTATGGCAATGCTTCTCAATCCAATGTTAAGCCATATCCCAGGTATAAACAGAAAAAGCGTACAGTCCTCCAAATTCTACTGTCATATGAAATGCAAGATCAATTAAATATCATGTAAAAATGGGAAAAACTGCTGCGTTGTTTTAAAACTACACAAGCCAGCTCTCTAGACCCTTTGAGACTCAGTGGTTAACTGGGTTAACTCAAGAAATCAAAGATTCTGATTAGTCATGCACCTGAGTAAATAAATCTCTGTGTTTCAGTGATACTTGTCCTAGGGAAACCCAGCACCAGTCACTACAAAGGGCACCAGCTTTGGAATCAAACAGTCCTGGTTCAAATTTCTACTCTAATAGCTGTGCAACTATGGGCAAATTACTTAAGCTCTCTGAGTTTCAAGGGCCTAATTTTTATTTTTTTTATTTTTTTATTTTATTTTTTTAAAGATTTTATTTATTCATTTGAGACACAAAGATACAGAGAGAGAGAGAGAGAGAGAGAGAGAGAGAGAGAGAGAGCATGAGCAGGGAGAGAGGCAGAGGCAGAGGGAGAGGGAGAAGCAGGCTCCCCATTGAGCCAGGAGCCCGATGTGGGACTTAATCCCAGGACCCTGGGATCATGACCTGAGCCGAAGGCAGATGCTTAACCATCTGAGCCACCCAGGCGCCCCATCAAGTGCCTAATCTTTATAATGTGAATAATGAAAACAGCGATATACAGATATTATGAGTATTAAAATGAGACAAAGCACACAAAGTTTGACACATTTTAGGCACCCGATGAATTGTTCCCACTGGAATTTCTCCAATTTGGCAAATCCTGGTAGAATATTATTCAAGGTCATACATGGCTGGCCATATGATTGCTATCTTTATTTTTCAAATTATAGAAGACATGCAGAAGGCATTAGACACAGGAATCTAAAGGATATTTCTATACTTGGTTTATTGACAACTTCTTGGTAATAATCAGTTTATTGACAATATGCTATGGTATATATATATTTCATCTGCTTTCATATTAATTGAAAACTTACCTGGGATTATTGATAACTTTCACCAGTGCTTCATATAGCTCTCCTTCAGTAACTGTCTTCCATTCTAGCAATATCCCCATGCCTTTTGCCTGGACCCGAGTCATAGTATCATAGTGGTCTCCAAAGAGTGGGATTCCCACTACAGGTACACCGTGATACATAGTTTCAAAAATACTATTCAAACCACCATGGCTCAGGAAGGCTTTAATATTTGAATGCCCTAAAGAAGGATTAAAAAAGAAAACAATTTAACAGTACTGTGAATTACTCGAAAAAGAGATTTTCCAGAAATCTCTTAAAAGTCAACACTATAATAAATACACATTTTAGATACAGGATTTTTAAAGGCATGATTTCACTGATTCCTGCTCTACATCAATTAAAATGCTTATTATATACATAATGAACTGATTTGTATATATTAGTTAAGAGCCATTTTCAAATCACTGAAATTTACAGCTTTAGGGAGTGTATTACAACTTTCCCTCAAATGCAAGTATCAACTGACTAGCCACATCTATTTAAATGGCCAATAATAAAAAGGAAGTCAACAAAAGCAAGAAATGCCAAAAATACCAGGGTGCAACCACATTCTACTAAAAGTAGACATCCGGGGCGCCTGGGTGGCTCAGTGGGTTAAGCATCTGCCTTTAGCTCAGGTCATGATTCCAGGGTCTTGGAATCAAGCCCCACATCGGGCTCCTTGCTCAGCAGTAAGCCTGCTTCTCCCTCTCCCTCTGCCTGCAGCTTCCCCTGCTTGTGCTCTCTCTCTCTCTCTGTCAAATAAATAAATAAAAATCTTTTTAAAAAATAAAAGTAGACATCCATTTCTGGATATGCAAGCATTTATCTCTCTATATATATTTTATTTTTTTTAAAGATTTTATTTATTTAATTGACAGAGAGAGAGAGAGACAGCGAGAGAGGAATACAAGCAGAGGGAGTGGGAGAGGGAGAAGCAGGCTTCCTGCTGAGCAGGGAGCCCGATGTGGGGCTCAATCTCAGGACCCCGAGATCATGACCTGAGCCGAAGGCAGACGCTTAACCTACTGAGCCACCCAGGTGCCCTGGCACTTACCTATATTAATAAGTAGAATGGTTTTGTAAAAAAAAAAAAAAAATGTTGAGATGTGGGGCTGGACTCCTGAAATCCATGAAAAGTTTATGTGCTTATTCAAGGAGGAACACTGTACAGTACAAAGTATTTACAAAATTCAAGTCATGTCAGCTTCTATGCTTCACAATTTTAGGGTCCAATTTCAGTTTGGGTATATAAACAAGTAGGGACTGACACTTATAAAAATCAGTTGTAAGCAATGGAACATCATGTAACATCTAGTTGTCATGGGGATAAAAGAAGATAATTTATCAAAATTAATGAGGTATTTCAAAACCCAGATCTCCTCCTGAGCAGCCTATATTTCAGAAAGGGACCGAAAGCCTTGTATAAGAAGTATAGGACAAAGAAACACTGCACTTGGGAAGTGTGTGCCATGGCCAGAAAGGAACTACAGCTCATAGAAACAAACCTTTTAAATATTCGTACACCAGGTACAAAACGGACTTCCGGGTGTTGAACCTCGGTCTCAACTGGGCACCAGGATCCTCTTTACCCCCCGTCTAGCGGGGTTAGTCACTCAGTGTCACCTTTGCCTACAAATGGCTTCTCAACTCAGCCCACCTAATGGATCTGCCCTCTCAGTGCAGTTCAAACTTTCTTTTTAGTAGCAAAACCTTTTCTTTGAACAAAACCTTACTACCAAGCCCGGCAGTGACAAATGAGCCAGTGCTGGTGGGTGGAGGGCAGGGGGGGGAGTATGGAAGGAAAGGAGGGGAAAGAGAGTGGTTCAGTTCCTACTTCTCATCCTGGAGGAATCTTCTGATCATGGTTAACAGCCAACAGAGGACCCGCAAAGTCATACCTGGTGATAAGAAGGACACTAATCTCGGCAAAGGCAGAGAACTGAGATTCTGAGGAACCCGGAAGAGCTATGAATTTGAGGAGGACCAGTGGGTGCGGACCACTGAGTAGCTACACCTTGCTGCTGTACAGCCTCTCAGAAAAAAACCGTGAGAACAGTTCAGATGTTCTCCGATAGCGGAATCACACTGTGGCACTGAAAGAGTTGACAGGCAATTATCTTATTTAAATCTCTTGCTTCTTTCTACCTTCTACTGAATCTGAAGTCAGAATAGTAAAGACATAAAAAAAAAGAAAATGAAATACAAGTATTAAGAAAAGTAAATTGCCCTGTTTCTTCTTCAATTTTGTAATTTATAGAATAATATATATAATGAACTAGATGAAAAGGAATTATATATATATAAAGAAAATTCCTCAGTTTCTTAGTTATAACATTCAATTTGCTGTTTTTTAGGATGGGTCATTTTATAGCTTCTAAAAAATACTTTTCAAAAGCCTATTTTTAAGAATATTATTTTAGAGCCACTTACATACCTCACTGTTTTTCAGTTACAAAATTCAATTTGCTGGTTTTTAGGACGGGTCACTGTAGCTTCTAAAAAATACTTTTCAAAAGCCTATTTTTAAGAGTATTGTTTAAAGACAACTTACATAATCTGTTAGATTTTAGCATTATTGAACAGATGATGGTCAACATTACCAAAACTCAATAACATTTTTATTATTTCCTTAATATCTTAAAGGATAATATGGCATCATGTTTTCCTAGATATTTAATGAAATTACAGTTTTACTAATTATGCTTATTTAACATAGAGTTAAATTACTTATTTCAAATATCTTAAAAGAAATGCATATAATTGTTATTTTAGTTTTTATCTGAGGATCAGAATCCCAATAAATAACTAAATCATGAGTTTATTTAATAAAATGTTTCACAAATGTGTGGTGATTTAAGGGGAAATCTAAACAGACGAACCAAATAAAGATAAGACAAATTGACTGTTTCCTTGGCCTTCTGCTTCTCTTTGGTTTCAAACAAATGAATAACTTTGAATTTTTCTGAGTTCTCAGATACATCTGTAATAAAACTCTAACACAAATCTACATTTTCACTGTTTTAATTTTACTATCTTTAGCTGCTTAGTCTAATCAGGTATAACTTTATTCACTGCTAGTTTACACAGCTTATTAAGTATATTTTCCAGAAAATTAAAATTAGTGACTGGTCTAAAAATTTTAATTTATAGACCCAAATGATTATACTTGACAAATTATTTTCCAGTAAATAAAGATCCGACTTGTTGGTTTGAAATCTGAGATACTGGATGACATAATGACTCTCTCATAAACTACACACATTATTACAGAAGACATTCAAGTGCAAAAATCACATTTACACAATTAAGATCTAAAAGCCAAGTAAGTACCTACATGTCGCTGACTTACCAAGCAGGTCATTTTGTGGTAACCATTCTATAAGCTTCGTGTTGTTTCCTAGATTCTTTGGTTTGGTTCCAGAAAACCTAAAATGTACATCAGACAATGAATCTATCAAAAATCGAATTTTACTCCTGGTACGGACTCTGGTTAAATTATTAAATTTAAAATAAACGTTGAATGATCTTTTGTTGATATCTTAAGAAGGAAACCATGCTTTAGTAACAACAAAATTGTGATTTTCTTTTTCACATTTTCACTGATTGAGAGACATCTAAAAACAAAACAAAACAAAACAAAAAACACAAAAAAACACTTGGCTTGTCTTTTTCCGCCATCTTGGACCCAGTGGCTGCCTGCTGGGAATAGGACTCCTATAATGCCAAATAATGTCTGGAAGGCTGTGGTCCAAAGCCAATTTTGCTGGCGATGAGCGGGGTTTCCGGAACCAGAGGAAGCACACAGCTCTTAAAATCGAAGGTGTTTATGCTATGAATTCTATCTAGGCAAGAGATGTGCTTTTGTGTACAAAGCAAAGAACAACACAGCGACTCCTGGTGGCAAACCAAACAAAACCAGAGGAATCTGGGGAAAAGTAACTCGTGCTCATGGAAACGGTGTAATGTTTCATGCCAAATTCCGAAGCAACCTTCCTGCTAAAGCCACTGGCCACAGAATCAGTGTGATGCTGTACCCCTCAAGGATTTAAATTCAATGAAAAGTAAATAAATAAAGGTGTAGATCTGTTCTCTTGTAAAAAAATAAATAAATAAACAAAAAAGACACTTGGCTTATATTGAGATCTATTTTCCTTCAGTTCTCACCCAATTACAGAGATGGGGGTGACTTTCTTTGCTAGAAAGTCACTCTCCAGAGAACCCAGAAGGAGAAATGCGAAGCAGGGAGAGTCACACTGGGCAGTGGATGGATAGCTCCAGTCTCTGACACCTGGACCCTGAGGGAAGGTGTGAGAAATCGAAAGAAAGCAGAAAGTACTCTTCTCTAGCTTGGCCCCAGAGACAGGAGTTCTGTGGGGCGAAGGATATCACTAAGCGGTTTCTTGCCTTGATCTTTGCAAGATAAACCATGAACATGCTTAAGGACTGAGGGAGTGGCAAGAGTCTGAACTGAGCAGACACAAACTGCCCTAAATAAAGCAGAAGGCTGCTTTCTGGGTTAAGCCTAATAGAGGAAACACAATCGGACTGGCATCCAAAGGAAAATGTCTTAAACAGTGGGGATAAAGTATGTATCCATTTCATAGCTCAGCCAGGAAAAGTGGGAGCTAATCTTTACACAGCTGTTATAAAGGAAAAACCCATGTTACTCAGACCCTACTTGTAATGGCCTGAGCCTTCAGGGCCGATGTTGTTCACGGCAGTATTCCTGGAGCCCAACGGCAACAGCGTTCAGGTCTGATGTTTACATGCTGGGTTGGCAAGTCCAGAGACAGACACTTCTTGGCAGGGCCTTCCAAAGGAAGCTGGGCGTAATCTATGGATCTGTTTTAACCAGCATTAACTGGCAGGTTATTGTGTTTTTAAAAACCTGGTCTCTTGGATAAACGAAATAGAAAGCATTTATAAAGGGCAAAAGGTTCCATGAAATATTTTACCTGTTTAGTCATTCATGCATCATTCTTTACCTCATTCCAACACTGATTTGAAGGTATACAGAAGGTATCTAGAAATGCATGTAATTACAACAATTTTTTAAAATGACAATAACTAACAGAAGGAGAAATAGGTAAAGCTGAGGGTAACATAAAAGGATAAGGAGATAAATCATTCTGCATCATATTTTCCTTCTGGCTATAGACTTGATATCTCTTTCTTTATCCATCACAGAGTCTTAGAAATTAGTCCCTAGATTTCAACACACTAAGCAACAAAATGAAAAGTCAGGGGCATCCTGCTAATCTTGCCAGGGAGCCAGTGTGCTGTGCTTGACGGGAACCTGCAGGATAAACGAGGAGATACTGAAAATCAACAGTGAAGAAAATCAACATTATTACCTTACCTCCAAATCACTTTTTGGGGCAATCTCCCCAGAGCTCCAGCCAGTTTGTTAGCAATGTCTTCTGACAGATACTTGACACCAGCTCCGAAAGATACCAGGACAAAGCCATGTTCATTAGCACCATTCACCCACCTTTGGAGATCCTACAAATCAAAATGTAGCAGTTAATTTTATGAAAGACCAATATAGTTCATAATCAGCTTCCACAAAGTCTTTAAAAAGACTTCAGGTAATTTTCTTAAACCATTAGGAAGTAAAGGACATAATAACTGCTTTTGTTTAAAATATTTCATCTGACAACACTAACTGAAATAAGGAGGGTGGATGGCTAATTTAGTAAGACCAACAAATAACAGTAACAAAAAATCTGTAGCTAATGGCCTAAGATCTCAGTCAAAAAATTGAAACTGATGTTTAAAACACAATCAGTAATAAATTTGTATGAGGAGGGCGCCTGGGTGGCTCGGTGCGTGAAGCGTCTGCCTTCGGCTCAGGTCAAGATCTCAGGGTCCTGGGATCGAGTCCGGCATCGGACTCCTTGCTCAGCGGGGAGTCTGCTTGTCCCTCTCTGTCTGCCTGCTGCCCCACTCCTGCTTGTGCTCTCTCTCTCTCTCCCATAAATAAATAAAATCTTTAAAAAAATTTTTGTATGAGGATACAAGTGAAAGATGTGGATTGGACATAAAACAAAAACATTACCTACCACCCTCACCCCCACCCAGGAAGATTTTTGTTTTTAGGAGTGGGCTGACTTTATCTTGGTCTAAGCTTGGTAATTTTCATCTGGTGAAGAGTCATCCCGTGTTGTATGATAAGACAGAGAAGGAGTTAGCTAATAGTGCCACAGATCCATAAGCCTAATGAGTTTTACTATTTCCCTAAATATTTCTCCAACTCACAGAGAACACAAGTCATACATGCTCTATAGTGAGGCATCCAGGGCTTCTAGAAATCTCTGAATGGTTGCTCTCCCTCATGGTGTGGGAAAATGCTAAATTCCCAAACCTCTCCTTAGACAGCCAACAGATGCTCATGTAACTCGTGCAGATCCGAGGTTAAGTAGGGACAACTCTAACACTGCAGGAATCACTCATTTTGGAGGAAAGACACATGGACAAATTTTTGCCAGTATGGTTGATTTATACAGAAAATGAAAACAGTTTAAGTTTTAAGGGATACTATCCTTGCTTTATTTTATTCTGTAGGCACAAACTTGCTTTTATGGTACGTTAACCCCTTGAGTAAGTCTTTGTCAAAGACACTGAGCTTCAGTTTCCGGTATGAAAACTAACAGAGCCACAGCACTTTGAGGAACATGTAATTCCACTGTAAGGAACACAAACATGCTGTTGACAACACCTTTACCATGATACAGGCATGAAAACAGGGGACAGACCACTCTGTATTCATGATGTGCAGAGTGAGCTGTCACAGTTAGGTCTCACGGACCCTGCAGGTCTCTCATTCCGGATGAATGAGTTACTACGGTGTCACCCATGTTCTTTGCATTTCACACCCCTTTCTGACATACCCTGATTTATTGAAGGGGGAGTGGGGTGATCACTGCACAGTAAGAAGAATTGTCACAATGACATCACCACCCAGCTCAACACCAAGTATTTATATGGAACATTAGCCCCCCCCACCACGTCTTCCTTTCCTTTGCTTTTCCCCCTTTTCTTTTATCACTTAATGAGATCTGTATTAACAACTCTATTGTACTCATTCTTAGCAGGGAAGAGGGGGCCACATTTTATTTGTGTCCAAAATGAATTAGTGGGTAGTGTCTCTAGATGACTGGGATGATGATGGAAGGAGGTACACCCTTCTAGCTACTGAGTGGGTAAAATAGGCTGTGATTATTGATACAGCTTTCAATTTACATCCTACTACATTTACCAAGAATATCACATGTACTGAAAATATAACAGTATTATCTGTGGATTCAAAGTAAGAAACAAGAACAAACTGATTTAAAATTTTCATTTTAGATACAGTCCTAAGCCGAATGTACTTAAAACAAATATGAATGCTGCACAGTAGAATGACTCCAATACTACATTTTATCCCTATGGTTTCTCTTCAAGTAATTTACCACCTACTACCCAGTTCTCTAAAGATTAAAATTTCAGGGTCAACGCCATTTTTAAAAAAAGCTGACATTCACATATACTAAGCCTTACAATAATAATGTTATTTAAATTTTGTTTCCCAAGGACTTAAAAGGTCTTTGAGTTTCAAATGACTCTATGCAATAAATACTTCAGTTGTTTGTTCTTTGTTCTGCATGGCATAAAATGAAATCCATTAAGCTATTTTCCTAGATTTTTTCCAGCCATACTCATTAGCCATTTACAAGAATATATTCAACCATCTAGCCTTCATTGATAAGAAAGGGAGTAGAGAAAATGTTAGTCATTATAGTTCCCTTCAGGAAAAGCGCTCAGCATTTTTAGAAGATAATACTCCAATTGGCTTAGAATGAGGCCTCAGGGTGATTTCCAAACTGCTCTTCCCTGGGCTGGAGGGAGCGGGGACGTGAAAGGTCAGAGAAGGAACAGTGAGCCTGACGCTGGGCTCCTGGACGTAACCCATGAGAGCTCCCTCATAAGCTCTCATCTTCACCTTAAATTCACAAAACGTTTGGTGTGGCTTATGTTTTATGGGAACACAGAAGGGGCTGGGTTTTGGGTTTGGCTGACAAGCGTGCCAGGCAGCAGGACAAGCTGCAGCAGGCAAAGGCTGAAGGGATCCTGAACGTGCTGAATCACGGTGAAGACTTGGGAACCAGAACTTCATGAAAAGTATGCCTGGCTCTCCAAAGGGCTGAGAGGCCCCAGGGGGCATCTTGCCTCTATATACATATGCAGTATTTTCTGGAATTTAAGACCCCGCAATTATAAAGTGCAAATTGATTTAATAACAACTCTTCAAAAAAATAATAATAACCTTCATAATAAATGTGTTCAATATAAAAAAAAAACAATTCTGGATATTTAACACTGTCAAAGATAAAGGTACTTTAGGGGGTGCCTCGGTGGCTCAGTCGGTTAAGCAGCTGCCTTCGGCTCAGGTCATGATCCTGGGGTCCTGGGATCGAGCCCCACATCCGGCTCCCCGCTCAGCAGAGAGCCTGCTTCTCCCTCTCCAACTGCCTGCCACTCTGCCTACTTGTGATCTTTCTCTCTCTGTCAAATAAATAAATAAAATACTTTAAATAAAGGTACTTTAGAATGTCGCTGGCCCCCTGACAAATACCAGGTAAAAATATAGAGTAAAAAATAAACCTCATTTACAATATCAACAAAAACTATATATATCTAAGAGTAGAGTAAGCCTAACAAAATACACAAGATGTACATAAAGAAAAATTTACTGAAGGACAAAAAAGAAAAACTGAGGAAGTGGAGATGTAACATGTGCCAGGAAAGAAACATCAATGTTCTGTAGATGCTATTTTTTTAGTAAAATTTTTATTTTTATAGTAAATTTTTTAGTAAAATTTTTATTAAAAATTTTTTTTATAAAATATAATATTTATAAAATAAAAATTTTTAATAAAAGTTCAATGCATTCCCCGCCTACATTCCGAGAGGACTGCTACAGAACTAGAGCAGAGTCTAAAATTCATCTGGAAAAGAAAGTGTACAAGAAAGGCCAAGAAGATTTTTGAAAAAGAACAGGGAAAGAGAGTTCTCCTTCTAGATAATCAGAATGCACTCTAGAATCTAGAGCCATCTCTATGAAATGTTCAGTTTTAGGAGAAGAGACAGCAATGAAGGGGGCAGCAGAGCCAGACCCCTGCCTACACAGGAACCAAGCATTTCCATCAGGGGGGAGAAGAGTCACCAACCACGGATTTAGAAAAAATGAAGTTAGATCCTTCTACTAATATAAATTACAGAAGGAGTAAAAAGTCAAAATGAATTAAAATATATGAAATACTTGAAAAAACAGTACTTTTATTGTTTCTGGGTGTGGAAGGCCTTCCTGGGCCAGTCACAAATCCCAGAAGTCATAAAGAAAACACTGAGGGGGCACCTGGGTGGCTCAGTAAGTTAAGCATCTGCTTTCAGCTCAGGTCATGATCCCAGGGTCCTAGGATCAAGTTCCACACAGGGCTTCCTGCTCAGCGGGGAGTCTGCTTCTCCCTCTGCCGCCCCTTCCCCTGCTTGTGTGCTCTCTTTCTCTCTGACAAATAAATAAATAAAATCTTTTTAAAAAAATAAAAAAGCAAAATAACAATAATAATAGTAATAAATAGGTGCAGAAATATTTTCAATATACATAATAAAAGATTGATAGACAAAACAATGAGAAAAAAATTTCCACAAAATACTTCAGGAAACACCCATTTCACAGAAGGAAAGCAAGTGGCATTCACATGGAAAGACACTTAGTTTCACATGCTAGCCAGAGACACACAAATTCAAACTGTTTTCGTCTCTTATTCTCTGTAGTCTCTACATTCCTCTGTTAGATGGTGTCAACATATAATTTAATCCATTTTAACTTAAAAAAAAAAACAACTGAATACAGCATTTACCCTTAAGTATTACTGTTTTATAATTTTCTGTCAACTTTTTTGTTTTGCCATAAAGATAAAATGTCTTTTCCTAAATGGCTTCTTGGTCTACTGACTTTGTTAGCACTTTTCCCACATTAAGATTATCTTTTAAATTCCTATACACCAACAACAAGACAGAAGAGAGACAAATTAAGGAGTCGATCCCATTTACAACTGCACCCAAAACCATAAGATACCTAGGAATAAATCTAACCAAAGAGGCAAAGGAACTGTACTCAGAAAACTATAAAATACTCATGAGAGAAACTGAGGAAGACACAAAGAAATGGAAAAACGTTCCATGCTCATGGATTGGAAGAACAAACATTGTGAAGATGTCAATGCTACCTAGAGCAATCTACACATTCAAAGCAATCCCCATCAAAATACCATCCACTTTTTTCAAAGAAATGGAACAAATAATCCTAAAATTTGTACGGAACCAGAAAAGACCCCAAATAGCCAGAGGAATGTTGAAAAAGAAAAGCAAAGCTGGCGGCATCACAACTCCAGGCTTCCAGCTCTATTACAAAGCTGTCATCATCAAGACAGTATGGTACTGGCACAAAAACAGAC